ATGGTCGGTCTACAAGATGCGCCCCTGCGTCGCAGTTACTCTTGTAGGGAGTGAGCCCGCCAAGGGGGAGGCCGTGGTCCTCTCTACCATCAAAAATGCCCTTTCTCCTCCCCGTTTGAGGCACTTGAGTTGGATCAAATCTCTAGGGTTGGGACGACCCGGAAGTATAGGGGGACAGGTGGGGTCGGACACCCAAGTCCTCAATGTAAATGCCTGAACCAGTAGGCCCTACGGCTGCTGCGGTGGGATCCCGGCCAAAGAAGGGCCGGGAGGTCACCTCCCACTTCCCATTGGGCCAAGGGAGCACAGAAAGTCAGTCCCGCGTGGGTCTGAGCCCAGTGTGGGGGGCGGAGACATTGGGGAGTAGGGGCTGAACGCCCCTGCGTAGGCATGTGAGCTGTCGGCCCAGGACAGGCATGCTGCCGGCAAGCTCTGTGCCTTCGAACGTCTCCCCAGCTGGCCTGGGCGGTAGGCACGAGCCGCCAAAGCCCATCTCTCTTTCGAACCAGGATGGGACATTCATCTCCAAAAACCTTTTCTTCTTGTTCTTCCTTCTGTTTCTCCCTTCCCATTTGTATCCCTCTGGCTGCAAACCAAGAGAGGCACCCAAATATAAGTCAATTAGAATTAAAAGTGAATGGCTGTTTGCTCCAGCTCCCCCCCCCAGCACCCCTTAAATTGTGTTTCAAAACAACATAGTGACTTTTTGACAAAATTTTTCTGTTTCACCCACACCACAATAGAGATGCAATGAAGGCGGCTGGTGAAATGTTTGGCTGTGTCAAATTCAGTCCCGAAGGCTGGCTTGGGCCAGCACTGGGGCTCTGCTTTGTGTTATGTTCACGGAGAAGATATTAATTAAAAGAAATACATGATTAAAAAGTAATGAGTTGAATAAAAATTATCTCAGCTCATTTTCTGATTATGTTAATTGTTAAAAACCCTTCAATCACGACGTTGCAGTCAATGGGCTTTAATGTGAAATTAGTGGGCTCTTGATAACTTACAGTCCAGAATAATCCTGGCGGTTTAGTCATCATTCCTAATAACAAGGATGTTGCTAAGAACAGAAATTTTACATGATTTTGATACATGAAGCCCTTCCCCCCATGTGTCATTTAAAAAAAAAAAAAAAAAAAGGCTTAGCCTGCCTGAGATTTCCAACTTCTTCCACCGCGGCCTTAGACTGGAGTTTGTATTCCAGTCCCTTTCGCTCCCCACGCGCAGCTCCACACCGTTGCGTCCGCGGGTTGCCGGTTGCTGGTTCCCGGCTCAGTGGCCGGGTGCGCCTTTTCCAGACGGTCTGCGCAGCTTCCCCTCCTGGCGGGGTCAGAGCGCCTTGCCAGGGACTGTACTGGGGGGCGTGGGGAAGGACGGAATTCGCAGCTACTGGGGCTGGAGGGGCCTCGAGGCCGTTTTGGGACCGGTCGCCAAGAGGCTGGCGAGTAAGACTGTGCGTAAACATGTCCAGACAGTCGTGGTGCGCCACGCAGGGTTGCTGGGCAAGGCAGGCCGAGTTGTGGCACGAGTGTCTGTGTGTGTGTCCCTTCTGCTAGTGCGCTTTCGGAGCTTTGAATGCCAGGAATCCTGAGAACCCATCCCAAGCACTGAGGGGGCGGAGGGTCAAGCGAGCTAGGGAAAAGTTGCCCACGCCTCAGAGCCAGGGTGGGGCTCCTGACAAAAGTGCCTAATGCAGAGTAGGCTCTTAATAGATTTTTATTGGATCTAAAAGAAAGCTAGTATATCTGTGCATGATTCTGATGAGTGACGACGGTCGGTGTTTTCGGCAGCCCCTGACCCTTTTGGGGCTTCCACCCTACTCAAGACCAAACTTAGAGCGGAGGATGGGAGTGAAAGGAGGGTTATACGTGGGTCGAGGATAAGGAGGGATGCTTTTCACCTACAACATAAACACTGTAAATTCTCAGTGAGCCGAGGGAAAGAGGAAATGTCCCAAATGCGCCCTATGCCGTTTTGTTGTTGCTGTTGGCTTCCTGGGGAACAGTGCTGCGCAGATTGGGCCTGTGAGGGAAGTGTTACCGAGAGAGTCATGGGGTCCTGGACTTTGAATAGGTGTGGGAGATGGGCTGCCTGAGGCGGAAGTGATGGACTCCCGCTGGTTTCAGCTCACCTGGTGCTGGAGATCTAGGGAACCCAAAACTGACCATTCCAGGTGCTTTGACACCTGGGCCAACAACCATCTGCCATCCAGCTAGAGACAGGAAGGGATTCAAGCTCCATTTTTCTCCCAAGAGAACTAAGTAGGGGAAATTGCATTTCCTGAATTCTAGCTGTCTGGAATTATATATAGATACCTATAGAAGTCTACAGAGATTGCCATGCAAAAGTATGTGAGCTGGGCGTGGGGGTTCAGTGAGGTGAATGCTGTGCGCATGTGTTAAACAGATCTGATTCATTCCTAGAGCAGGAAGCTTTGTTGCTCAAGGTGCATTTTTCAAAGCTTCTAACTTTAAGACACACTATCTGGTTGGTGTGGGTAATCTGGTGTTTCGCAAGCTGGTGGAGGGGGTTGTTTTGTTTGGGGGCGTTTGTTTTGGTTCTTTTGCACCTCCGAAAAAGCAATTTTCTTTTAGCACCTTTCTAAAAATGTTTCCACCGTCTCAAGCCCAAAAATTGATGAATCTTCCCTGGGGAATGGAGGGTGAAGGTGTCAGCCACGGACTGGGATGAGTCCCAAGGCTAATTCTTGTTCGCCTCTCTATTTGCAATCGCTGTTAGGCTGAGGATCATTTTAATAAATAACAATGAACTGGAATGGCATCTAGAGGGCTTGTCGGCAACATTTAAAAGCCAATAGAGTTTATAATTCTACTCTATCATTTCTTATTGATTAGCGTAATCAAGATAAAAAGCTAGCCGGGCTCGGAGAACTTCAGCAGCATATCATTAAAGATAAGAGTCAGTTAATTCTGGAGCTAGGGTAATGTGGCTGAAATGAAGAGTTCATTTGCATGAGATGCTGAGCCCAGTAACAAGGGGACAAAAATCACTAATTAGGATTGCAGAATGTCGCCCTCTCTGCAAGCCCCCTTTCCAGATCGCGGACGAAGTGGAGATCCACGTTTATGTAAATCTAGGGCTGGGCAGACCACTCTCTCTCCTTATAGATGGTGGTTATCATCCCCCGTTCTCTACACCATCCTGCTGGCCCGGCTGCCGGACTAGGGTGGGGATGAGGGTCAGTCCAGACAGATCCTCTCCTTCCCTGCCCATCCCACTCCCGAACCCCGAGGCCGCCAGAGCTAAGCTCGCCCACTCCTTTACGGAGGCTCACGGGCGCATGTCTGGTGCCTCAGTGAACTAGTCCTGGTGTCCAATCTTCGCCACGAGTTCTGGCCTGGTCCGTATGGGCGGCCTGAGGAAGCCCCAGCTTTGGTGCAGCGCCTGTGGGGTGAGGGGTGGAGCGTTGCACCTGCCCAGGCCCCACGGGAAGCTCGGGGCATTTCCCCCGGTAAGGATCCCCAAAGGAGGCCCAGGTGTCAGGGCCGAAGTCGATGACCACCCCCCCCCCCCCCCCCACACTCGGATGGCTTCCTCTGTCTCCCTGCTTGACCTAACATACGCGACGGAGCCAGTCCATGGGCGCCCAAGAGCGCGTGCTTGCGCACTGCGAGAGCAGTTGGGAGTGCGTGCGTGTATACTGTGTGCCTCAATGTACAGGAATGTGTGCATACTTGTGTAACTATATGTGTATGCAAGTGAGTCCAGGTCTTGTGTAAATCTTATGTTTCAGAAGCTTGCTGCGGCGTGAACGTTTTTACTGCATGTGCGTACACAAGTGATAACGTTCGTGTAAATGATTTGCAGTGCATGTTCATGGGTACACATGTGATATTGTGTATGTACTGTGTGATGTGCTTGTGGCGCGAAGGGGGTGGGGGGAGTGACAGCCTGGAGAGGTTCCCCAGAGGGAAATGTGCTACAGGCGTACGGGGTTTGGGCGCCCAGGGGTGAGGTGTGAATTGGACGCTGCGGGCAATGGGCGCGAGGTGTTGGCGGGAGCGGGAATCGCCCGCGGCAGGGGTGCCTCGGGGGCCCGTAAGAGGCGAGGCAAGGGGAGAACACCCTTCTTGCAGCACTTGGCCCTCCCACTCCGCCGGGCGAACCATAAGGAAAAGCAGCTTCATCTCTCGGCCGCTGGAGATTCCCTCAACCCTCCCCGGGGAAGTGAAAGTGGACAAAAAGGCACCCCAAGATAAGCTTTAACGTAATGAGAGAAGTGGACGCAGAGTAGCCGCTGGACGAGCAAGGACTGCGCGTTCACACCTAGGCCCCAGCCCTTTTTCTGCTCAAGGTGGTTTGGGATTCATGTCCTTTGCGGCCCTCCCAGTCCGCTGCTGGGGGAGATCCCGCATCCACGGGCGCTGGGGAGCTGGGAGCTCTCAAAGTTCCTTCCCAAGGAGGGAAAGAAAAGCGCGCGGCTGCTGGGGCAACCCCTCCCGGAGAGGCCGCGGCCGCGCCTGGAATCCCGCCCGGCATCCCGCTTTTTACATCGGCCTCTTTAGAACTAACTTTGCCCCTCACTTGGCTGCGGCATAAAAGAATCAAGGCCTATGTCAGATAATTGTAGGTGTCAGCGTGGAAAGTGGCAGTGTTTGCACACTCTCACAGGTCTCGCTGTGTCTGCTCCCGAAGCTTCGCGGGCCTCTCACGCCCCACCCCCCGCCCACGGCGTGGTGGCAGCAGCTTCCTGGGCCGACAGCCCACGGACCCCATGCGCGCGTGCGCCGAGCACCTGCGCCCGCGCGAGCGCGGAGGCGTCGAGGCCGCGCGCCCTCCAGGGCCCGGGGCCGAAGGTGCCCGCAAAGGGCGCGTTGCTTTAGCATCGACACCCCGCCCCCATCCCTCTCTCCAGGGATTTTTTTGTATCTGAGCACAGCTGGGGGCTCCCTCACCACCCACCCCTGGGCCTCCCCATACAGAATAAAGTCAGTCTGTATTTAATGGTTATGGCGGATGTGAGGGGGATTTGGCAGAGGCAGAAGAGAGGCCTTTCGCTCTCAAATATCGCTCCTTACGTCGTGTGAGTCTACCAACCCACCACGACCCCATATTCTTGTGCGGGTGTCTGACTCGAATGACAAGCGAGCTGATTTTTTCAGTACATAGCTGGGAAATGTAGTGAGTGATAATAGAGATTTCTCTTTCATTTTTTACGCTTGACTTGGTTATTGTTGCTTTTCTTTTCCCGTGATTCCTTCTGAGGATTAGCTCTGACTTCCCCACTATTGGCGGTCAAAGTGGCCCCGACTCGGGATGACAATTGACGGGGATCAAGGGATTGCCCATTCTGTGCCTGTAAGAACGGATTCGTGCCAGAGAAACTCATCAAGTGGAGGCGGAGAATAAAGACCGTTCGGGGGTAAATGTATTCATTGAGAAGGGTTCTCCCAAATTGCTTCTAAGTTTTTTTAATGAAAAGTAACGATTGCAGCAATCAGCGGCTTTTTGGCGGATTACAAATCTGGAGGGAGCTGCGGCGCTGCATTGAAAAGCGCCCCCGCCTTCGCACGGGGCAGCCGGTTCACAGGAGCAGCGCGAGGGCGGGGGTCCCCGTCACCAGACAAAGGCTGGAGGGGGCAAGCCGCGTAGGGTGTCTTCGGGCGCTCGGGCGCGCACCCGGGAACCAATCATCAACCCGGGCGCAGGTGTGGCAGAGAGAGCCTTCCCCCTCCCCCCTATACACACCGAGGGGCGGGGGCCTGGGCAAAGTGTCTAGAGAGGTGGACCCCATCGCGGCTACTGGGTAGATCCGGGCATCAGAAGCGAGAAAGGTGCGTGAGAAACACCGAGCAGGTGACGGTGGGACGGTTGGCTCCTCCACCTCCACCCCGGAACTGAGCACGCTAGTTTCTTCTTTTAGGGACGCCCGATTTTGCAGACAGGAACCGAAAGCGTGGGGACCCGTCAGGTACGGGTGGGATATTCCCCAGGTGTCCTGGGCAGGAGGGAAAGTGGGGTCTCCTCCCCCGGGCGGGGGCAGGATGGCCTAGAGCCGAACCTGGCGGAGCTGGAGGCGCGAGGGCGCGCCGCCTGCCGCCCACACGCTTTGGTCTGGCCCGCACCAGTCCCCTCCGCCCAGTGGAACCCGAGCGCACGCCCCAGCTCTCCCAGAGTCGGCGGGCACGGCCTCCAGGCCCGCCCTGAGCCCCGGCCTAGGCCGCAGCCTCCCAGCCCCAGGACTCGGGGAGTCGCCTTAGAAAATGGGGGGAGGGAACGAGAGCGCAGAGACAAAACGCTATTCTCACAGAGGTTGAAATCAGCTGCAGCGGTCTAAGGCAGCCGCATTCAGCCTGACTTTTTATACATTTATTTTTTTTAATAGTGTATCTTAGCAGGGGGGTGGGGGGTATGTTTTTTCAAACCGACTTCTTTAAGGCTCTCTGAAGTAAATAAGGGAGCAGAGAGACAAGGGTGGGGAAGAGAAGAAGAAAAAGAAAGGCT